AGCCCCAAAATTTATCTTTATTACTGTGCAGGATCATCGGCAATTCAAGCAGCGGTACTACGAATTTCTCGATTACCACCGAGCTCCAAATGGGCCGGTCTTCTTAAATATATGTGGAGAAGCTTCATGCAGTGGGATTTCTAACAACTACTTAGCTGTGAGTTTATTAATGCATTGCCGCATGCTCTAGGCATGATTTGTACTGTTCACACTTCATGCAGTAACTCCATCTGTTATCGATAACATACTTGTGGGTTGGATTGTGTATGTAGGTGATGGCCAAGAAGTTTGGCGCTGCTTTGGTTTCTCCCGAGCATCGATACTATGGGAAGAGTTCCCCTTTTGAGGATTTGACGACAGAAAATCTAAGGTTCTTGTCATCAAAGCAGGCTTTATCTGATTTGGCTGTTTTCCGCCAGTATTATCAGGTGTGAATTTGCTATATTTGTTTTGGCGTCCTTATACAACACCTGTGCATGTACTATATATTGATGTAGCGCCCCATGGTATACACATGTTTCTATTCCTTGTAATAGTTTGCATCGCCAATGTCCAAACAAGTGTTTTTCGTAACTGAGTTATTCTTTCTGTCATTTGAAGGAAACATTAAATGCCAAGTATAATCGCTCAGGAGCAGACAATTCTTGGTTTGTGTTTGGAGGGTCGTACTCTGGAGCTCTCAGTGCTTGGTTCAGATTGAAATTTCCTCACTTAACATGTGGAAGTCTTGCAAGTTCAGGGGTTGTTCTTGCTGTTTACAACTTTACTGACTTCGACAAACAGGTTGGTTCTGGCACAGATCCTGTTATGTTATTAAAGTTACGGCACTTTGGCCTGTACCTGAAGTTTTACATTTCTGTATAATTTATGCCTCTGGAGATTGGGGAGTCAGCTGGTCCAGAATGCAAAGAAGCACTTCAAGAAGTAACAAGACTTGTTGATGGACAACTTCAGTCTGGCCACAACTCGGTTAAAGAACTGTTTGGAGCAAAAATGGTAGTCCTTTTGTGCGACATGAAGTGTATTTACTTTTCTTTGACAACTTATCAATCCCATGTGATATACAAAGTTTTCAGCTCATTTAGGAGTTTGCCGTCACCAGGTGGCCTTTGCCATTGTTTTGTTATGCAAAAACTTGAAAGGACAAAATTTGACAATGGTTCTAACAATCATGATTCTATGAAAATCATTAATGTTTCCCTTACTATGCAACTTCTTTGGTGATAATGTCATAATCTAGTAGAGTCTGGTCTTTTCCACAAAGGTGTTACAAGTATTACCAATCCAGTAAACATTTTGTAGGACTCTTATTGAGCATGCAAGCCTTTGACTGTTTTTTTATATCTCTTGACCTATCTGTCCTATTGCTACTCATATTTCTGCTATATTTTCTTTGAACAAAATTCTGAATTGAATTGTCATGTCTATGGAGCTTGTAAACATAATAGTTTAAACTATTTGTGCGCTACCAATGGTTGCTGACAGGTTCTATAGCGTTCCCTTTTGGATGGCATGAAATTTCATGACATTACCTAGTAGCGTATGTACGATTCTATACTTATCCATCAATTTGTTTGGACACTTGCAGTTAGAAAATGATGGTGACTTCCTTTACCTACTAGCAGACGCTGCAGCTATTGCGGTATGCTTAATGCCGATTTTTGCAACTGTATTGTCTATCAGAAATGATTGTTGTGTTGAAAACCTATACCATTTGCAGTTCCAATATGGCAACCCTGATGTTTTGTGCTCCCCACTAGTTGAAGCAAAGAAGAATGGTACGGATTTGGTGGTAAGTTGCATGGTCGTGCATATTCCTGTTAGTAATTGAGGAATATACCCTGCGGATAACTGCTATCAAGAATATAGGGACCAATTGGCCAAGATCTTTATTTTTCCAAAAGCGCATAACATGAATACTTCACTGTAGATCTTGACTCTTATTTAACTCGTGCTACCATAACTTTCCAGCAAATCTGGTATTTGCTAACACTTTCTTCCGTGCAGGAAGCATTTGCTCGTTACGTGAACGACTATTATGTTGGGACATTTAGGGCATCAGTTGCATCATATGATCAGAACTATTTGAAGAACACAACCCCTGCTGAATCTTGTAAATCCTTACTCTGACATTCAGTATTATGAGATATCATTCTTGGAGAGCTCTTAATGGATGTTGTGCATATATATTAGACAGTGTTAATACTGTCCAGATATTATATAACTGACCATGCATTTAACTGTTGAAATTTGATTTTATGTAGCATATCGATTGTGGTGGTATCAAGTTTGCAGTGAGGTTGCATATTTCCAAGTGGCGCCAAAAAATGATAGCGTCCGTTCTGCAAAGATTGATACAAGGTTACTAAATATACCTTTCCTTACATTTCATGTTTCTTACCAAGCACCATTTCATTTGCCTTCCATGACCTTCTCTTTTTCTGTAATGTGATTACATACATTTCTAGACTCTGGATTCACTTGTGTGTCCTTGTGATTCTTTTGTTCGTAGGTATCATTTAGACTTGTGCAAAAATGTTTTTGGGGAAGGAGTTTATCCTGATGTGTCCATGACAAACTTATACTACGGAGGCACAAGAATTGCAGGTGGGCCCTTTGAGTAATTTAGCTTCAGTCCTGCTGCCTGTTACGATTTTAACTTTCTTTCTATCTCTCTATTTAACTGTGAAATATGCCTCTGCCATTTTGCTTCCCTTTACCTTGAATCTTGGTGAATACACATTACAAATTTGCTGCTACCTTTTTTGTTTTCACCATCAATGCACCATCATTAACAAAATCCTATTGTCCGGTGTGCTTAAGATGGGCTATGCAGGTAAGTATGTCAGGTAAGGATCAGTTAACATAGGTAAATAGAATACAGGTAAGGATCAGTTAACATAGGTAAATAGAATACAAAAAAGTTCAGCGGCCTCGTATCTGCAGTGCTAACAGCCCTTTTTTTGCTGCCATTGGAAGCTTTATATGTGATAGCAATAGCATGGTGTATGAATGTATATTGTGGATATCCAATTATGCGTAGTGATTTGGGCTAATTACTTCAAATTTGAAGTAAAGATTTCACTGGTAGAGTTAAACATTATACTGCTAGTCAGACATCCCTGTATTTCCTAATATATATGTTGCCTCCCTGTAGGTTCTAAAATTGTTTTTGCAAATGGCTCTCAAGACCCATGGCGCCATGCTTCTAAGCAGAAATCATCGGAAGAACGTAAGGATCTGTAGTACTTCGTACCATTTTGTGAACGTTTCCATCGTTTTAACTTTTAAGAGCACAAACTATACTTTCACTATGAACAAGGTTGAAGAGATTTTTGTTAATGACATTAGCATGCTTATTATAGAAGTTTTTCAATATCTGCAGTGCCATCATACTTAATTGAGTGCAGCAACTGTGGGCATTGCACTGATATCTCCGGATGCCCTCAAGCACCCTCAAATATTGGAGGTAGATCCAATCTTTCAACATTTTTTTATTTGCAACTGAATTACATCAGCTATGTAGGTTCTTTTTGTTTGCAACTGAAGACAAGTGTGAGCTGTCTGCATTTTTTGTTCGCCAGGTGATTCATCCAAATGCTCATCTCCAGAAGCAGTGAACAAGGTAAGGAAGCAGATCGTGGATCACATCGACCTGTGGTTGTCAGAATGCCAAGACCAAGGTCAGAATTTGGGCTGTACAGCAATAATATCATTGGACCGATTCTTTTGAATAATTTAGCATTGTTAGCTAACGTGTCTACATGTTCACCCCGTGCTTTTGCACACCTGCAATTCAGTTGGCATTCAGTTTCTTTTGTCTGCGGCATCATTGGTCTGTCCTCACGTTTCAGGACACGACACGGTGACGAAGCAGGGGAGCAGATGGAGCATAGCTACCTACTGATCACCTGTGCAGGCGAACACGCACGATATTGCTGTTATTTACATGAAACACGAATAATACAGGCAGACGAAACAACTAGGCGATTGGCGGC